TGGAAGGACATGTGAGGACAAGAGTGGGGGAGGGGTCGTATTGCTGGACATATGAGTGTAGCGACAAAAAAGAAAAGGTGTCGGGGGATTGTCAGTGGGACAAATGGGGGGACAGTGATTTGTCCCTGCTGCCGTACGGTGTGGAAAAAGAAAAGCTGGTGAGGGAAGTAGTTTGATTCCATGACCACTGGAGTGGCCAGAGACCAAGCAGGGTCTCCCAAACTGTCTACTGATCTACCGGGACGGGCAAGTCAGCCTGGCCAGGGATGGTAATTAATTATTCCTGAATTACAGTTGAATTACAGTTGAATTACAAATGAAATCACAAATGGAATTACAAATGGAATTACAAATTGGTGTGAGCCCCTTAATTATGGGATCCCAGATCCGGATATTAACTTGGAAGGTGTAAGGAACCTGTGAAACAAACACAGACGACCCCGTAGCCGTCCAGTTATTATTGCTTTTCTGATGTGCTTATTTCTTTTTCTGGGCTCTATACAGCCTGCCATGTTTCCTGCACATGATGGAGTCTGTTTGGTGGTGTATGTTTCTATACATTGCGACTTGTTAGGATGATTAGAAGGCTGCTAGAGTTTGCAAGTGTGTGCGGTGGTTTGTGTGTCTGAGAGGAGGTAGACTCCCACCGATGGCTATGCCACACCGGCCGATGCTGATATCTGTCGTTGCTTTTTTGTATTGCTACAGTAAATCAACTTGTAGTAATTCTGTCCACAGTATAATGTTTTTTTGTTTGCTTTGCTACCAGAAGGTTGCTTTTCGAGAGTGCCATACCCCAAGCTGTTTAGATTAGGATGATCAAAGTATTCATTCTCATGGGAAACCTATGTACTATGTGTTGTGCCAGTCACAAACAACTGACGTCATCGAGACACTGGTCTGCAAATAATATAATGAAGCCTAATAAAGCAATAAGGGCACAAATGCACGAGTGGAACTCTCTTGGATGTTTTTCTTTTTTTCCCTTTTTTCTTCTTGCTAACCCTCTCAGAATCGAGATTCCATAATTGGCTTATAGAGTATGGAAGTACTTACTAATTTGGGTTTTATTGAACGTTCATGGTAAATCCTCTTCGATAGTTAGTCAAGGGGACACTGGAAGGAAGTCTACCATTTCTGTGCTATTCCACAGGACACTGATGATTTAGAAACAGAAATGTCCTCTGGATCTGACGAATGCCCTGGATGGATATTTACTACATTTGGTGTTTTGAAAATCTGAAATTGCATTCGACAGGGATAGCAAACAAACAACAAATGTAAGCCAAATGGGAAAGGATTTGGAAAAGGAAATGTGATGCAATTGCTGCTATCAAACAGCTTCCTCTATGCAGAAAGAGACACCACTCAATCCGATTAGACGTTTAGGCCATTAGTAAGTATTGCCGTAATCGGTTGCTAACTTTTGATAATGCCAGACCTCCAAATGTAAACAAAAGTATCATAACATAATGGTGTATGATAGAACAGAACACACCGCATAAGGTTCGCAAAATACCAAAGAGAGAATACTGCCATCTTTAGGTTACTCTGAAAGCCATGCTGGGAATCAGCTATCTTGCGGTGAATCCGTGATGATATAATGCTGCTATTATCGCCGATAAGACGGTTGGGCTTGATATAGGAGAAGGGAGCATGACATTCATGTACTCGAGAATTATTGTCTATTTTTTTCATTCCTAACTGTTATTTTAAAGTTAATAGTTATGTGTTTAGGTGTGTACTGAACTGGAAGTGTACATGGAAGATAAAAAGAGTTTGCTCATTGACCAACGCCATGAAACAAGTCAAAGGAAAACATATAAAAAGGGCACTAATTCGTGCATTTTCTGATCATGTCATTCTGGGAATAGCATTTTCCTTTACCATCTGGAACAAAGAATAAGCTAAACCTATCTCATAAGCAAGTTCAGACCAAGCCAATATGTGGTCTATTTATGTTCTTTTGATATCTCTGATATCAAGGGTACTTTCGGTTGATAATAATGGGGGTTTTGTTATTAGCGACCCAACCTATGTATACAATGGTGATATTAATGTGCCTGATGCCGGATACATCCTGAACACTGGAGGTATTGCTAAAGAAATTACTGTCAATGGTAATATCAACGTTGCTACTTATTTCTCTGTGGTAGCAGATTATCACGAAGGAGGACCTGGATACTTTTTCACTTATCATGGAGGTTCAATTTCTGCTCCAGGTAATGGTATAGAGATTTCAAACAGAGGAGGAACGGGACCTTCGAATATTGTAATGACTGGTGATTCTTTCACTGGTCGTGGTTTTTATATTTCTTCGAATGTTCGTGAGGGAAGTACTGCGTATCTGGACTTTGATAATATACGTGGTTCCCAGAACGATATTACCGATATACAGTATGCTACAATTTCCCCACGTACAAAATTGAGGACTGGCCAATTTATTGTGACCCGAAGTGATGTTTTTTTTGAAGGTCCTGTCGATTTTTTTAATAGTACGGTAATGAGTTTATTTGCCTCGTCTGTATGGATTGATAATCCTGAT